GGTTTAGACGAGGACCCCGTGACGGTTTGGTTGTTGCCACCGCTTAAATTTGATAAATAATTATTTTTTAATCGAATTATTAAAATTTTGACTGGAAGGTAAATGATTTGGGGTGGTGCAGGTGCCGGTGACCTTTTGGCGGACGCATTAATGCCATGTTTGATCCCGTTCTTTTGCTAAAATGCATTCATTTTGAAATAGTAATTTGATGAAAAATATGTAGTTAAAAAATAAAAAAAATTAATTTGTCTGTAATATTATTTTATTGAAAAATGTGTAATTTTTTTAAAAAAGAAAAAAATGTATTTTAAAATTAATGGAGATCAAACATGCTCTAAATCTCACATCTAATATTTTGATGCCACATGAGAAGTCGAAGGGTAAAAAGGGAAGAGAGAGAGGTGGGTTGGGGCGGAACAGTGACGGTTGGTGGTCCGATCAAGCTTTGGTGTCCGTGACTTGACCTCCAAGCTTTTACTCACATTTGTATCGAGTATAGTTAAATAATACGCTTTCGAAGAGAACCTAGTTAGTTTTAGATTCGAATGGTATTTCACTTCTGACCACAATTCATTCACTTATGTTCTAACGTTTATCGATTTACAACTCATCCGTTGAATTTTTAAAGCAAACTATTTCGAACATCCATCCAATTTCATCCAAGTTTCATTTTGATCATTGATAGGTCACTCACATTTGAGTCCCTAAGCAGTGGCAATTGCTTATAAAATCTTGTACGAATAGGTAGGACGGTATCCTTGACACAAATAAAAAACGTGTACGATATGGCCCCCATAAAGCAATTTGACCACGACTGCAAGTTGTTTAAATGATAAAGTCGAAAAGACGATTCATTACTTCTTTCTCTCATTGAAAAACGTTCATGATATAACTTTTTTATTGTCATTTAGTATGGACAATAGGTATGAAAAATATCTAAAAATATTCGATCCATTGACTAGCTTGCTTCCAAGCTTAGTTGAGATTTGAGGCAGTTCAAGAATTTTCACTTTATTTTTATCTTTTAAGTTTCTTCTACTTTTAGTTATTGGGGAAAATATTCTTGCCACTAAGAACCAACAGCAACGTTACAAGGTTTGTTGGGGTTGCTCATAGTTAATGATGCAAAAATTCAAAATTAGGTACGTTAGAATGTACAATGATGGTCACATCAACTCCATTCTCCTATATTATTGTATCTAATAACCATACTTTTTGTCTTTAAATTATCAATGTCTTAAGTACCGGTTCAAACATTTCAAAACTTTAAAGGAAAATGCTAAGTGTACACAATCTTTGACACAATATGATATGGCAACAATCATGTGGTTGATGTGAAAGTGTCAGATTTGAATTAAAGGTTTTGATCGATGCCACTTGTAATTGTGTAGACCATTATGTAAACTATTATGTACATGTAACATTACTCAGCAAGCAATACCAGAATATAAGCAATGTC